GGCTGCTTTGATCTCAGTGCGGACCCTGCCAGTTGGGAGAGAACTTCCCTTTGGCTTCATCTTGATGCGGAAAAATTTTCTTTAACACCAGCTGTCCCGGTGTGAACTGTCTTTGCTTGACTCTCTTGTTGAAGGCTCTGGACATTCTGTTCTGATAGAGTTGACCATGGCAAACTGTGTTTATTAATCCAACTTCTGATAGAATTGTGTTTGGGCTTGGGCCCCTTCTTATCATTAGAATTGAAGCCATGGGCCGCAAATTTCCAGCAAGTGAGAAGGATCATTATCTACATCCCTATCTGTGAAGAAAACAACAAACGACGGGTAACAATTCCGGCATGTTGTCGGAAATGACGTCCGACCAGGAAGATACCGGAGCTGCGGAAATTCATCCAAACAAACGGATTAAAACCCTAACCCGAAGTTCACCTGAATCCTCGCCGTCCTCATCCGACAAAGGCAAATCAAAGCTCGAAGTTTCGGATTGGGAAAACGAATGGAATTGCTGTGGAATTTGCTTGTCTGAAAGTGGACATGGCACGGGCACGATCATCAGAGGTTGTATCGATTGTTGCGACCATTACTTCTGTTTTGTGTGTATAATGGAGTGGTCTAAGGTTGAGTCCAGATGTCCCATGTGTAAACGCCGTTTCTCCACCATCCGCCGCCCTCCTAAACCTCCCGTTTTCCCTTCCGAACGCGTTGTTAATGTTCCTGTCCGCGATCAGGTTCTTTACTCTGACTTTTATTTAGTCTTGAATTTATGCTGAATTTTGTTTTCTTTTTTGGTAAAAGATTGTTTTTTCTTCTAAAAGTTGTTTCTGATTTCCGAATAATGTTTTTAGTGATAACTCTTGTGAGCTCTAGTTAATATACCTTAATTTGACTCATTGATGTAGTAAAACCATTAAGGCTCATGTCAATTTATGTTGAAATAAAACTAAAATTTTGCAGATAATACTGATGATTGTAGTTGTCATGTGAATTATATACTTATATTACATCTAAAGACAAACGGGCTTGCATCAGGATAACGTGTTGATAGATCATTTTAATGATGTATTAAGCCTCATTATTGCTGATTTTTAGCTCAGAATGTTGCAAACATTATTCTGTGTTAGTTGTATGTAATGTAGTTATTTGATGAAAAGTGGATGTTCATTTGCTTTATGAAAAGCTATCCTCTTGGTTTATGGTGATTGCATCATCCTGCATTTACGCTTTGGGTCCCGTGATCAAACTGCTGTTTTCACATTAGGATTCATCATTAATTTCTGATTAATTTATCTTTAGCCGATAGTCTATTAGAAACAGTACCTCCTATTATTGATCTGCTGCAACCTTTAGTTTATTGAGGTGAAGTTATGAACGTCTGCATGCACTCTGAATGATAAAACCATTATTCTTGTAATCTTAAAAGCCTAGAATTTAAGTGGAGAAGGGTGGAGCGGGGGGCCCATTATCCGCCGAGCTTCAAACCTTCTGTGATTACTCGGTTATAAAAAAAGTGCTTCAAAAGTTTGGCCGGGAAGACTGTTTTGTTTCCACTTTTCTGTGGTTCATACATTTTTTCTTTGTATATATTTTTAAAAATTCACTTGGTTTATGGTACCTAGACTAGACTAGGTATAATCTCTTGACTGTCTCTCATGTATTACTGGTGAAATTGCTTATGCAGGTTTACCATTACCTAGGAAATGCAACAACTGGACCGCGGGATCTATACGAAGAAGTGCAATGTTACGTGTGCCATAGCACGGCCGATGACAGTCTCCTGCTGTTGTGCGACCTTTGTGACACTGCTTATCATACTTACTGTGTTGGCCTTGGTGCTACTGTACCTGAGGGTGATTGGTTTTGCGCAGACTGCTCACTTCTGAAGGCTGAACAGGCTCAGGGTGAGATCAAAACTGATTGTGATACTCAAGCTAGTTTCGGTGACCACTGTTTAGCAGAACCAGCAAGACATGTATCTATATATGAAATTGTACGAGAGTCATACACTCCAACTGCTTCCTTGGATGCTACAGACAATTCATCTCGTACTGATACTGGAAGGCAAAGTACTTCTCAAAGCAGCTCGATTGGGTTAGGCTCGCTAGGACAAAATGCTGTTGCAAGACATGCCAATAAGTTCAATGCCAGAACACTGGGGCATTGCCGCAATGTCCATGATAAGATTCGCACATTGCGTAAACATTGGAATGGTTTTCGAAGTGGATCCTTGACATTCTCTTCTAGCAAAATGAGTAATGCTAGTATTGCCAAACAAAAACCAGTGCAGGGCAGCTGTTCTGGTGAACGGCCTTTAGTATCTTGCTCGAGTCAACCAATGACATCACAGTCTCTTGATCAAAATAAACTGGACAGTAAAGGTTCAATAGAGGTGGAGAAGGCGTGGAAAATGATGAATATGGCCAAGGCAATAGAGCAAGGTCGTGACAGGAATAAAAGTTTCCTTCAGGCCTCAAAACATGCTGTTAAGAAGAATACTAGCTGCAAAAAAGCTGGTGAATCAAGCTCAAGGTCTGGCTCACTAAAGATCGAACAGCATCAGCATGCGTGTATTCAAAATGTTGGATCAGGTAGTCAATTCCACAACCATGCTTTTAAGCTGGACAGTAAATTAAAAGGTTCTTCAGGTGTAGATAAAGGTTTTTCAATGGCATGTGGACCATCATACAGTGAACTTGTATCTTCGAAGGAGTCTCAGACTTCAGTTCAGCCCGATATCTGTCATGCGAACAATGGACTAATACAGAAGAATAAGTCGTATGCTGGGTCCACAGAATTGATTTCTTCTGTCAGGTCGACATCAATTTCTACCACTGTAGGTTATGACAAAAAGAACTGTTCTTCCTCGAGTAGCATTGTGAATCCTCCTCAAGAGAAACTCAAGGTCGAAAAGAGTGACATTAAGAACAGAGGTCAGGTGGAATGTGATGCCAAGACTGAGATCCAATCTCTTGTGAAGCTCAACCTAAAAATCCTATGCAGAGATAAAAAGCTCGGTACGACTTTTACTTTGACCTGTAGTTAGCTTATGCATGCATCACTTCATTGCATTTATATGGTAAATAACTATTGTAGTATGATGCATCTGGTCTGAGTTTGCTATTATTTCTTTTTCTTGTATAACTACATATATAAAACAAACGGGACTCCATGCAATACCTTCAATGCGTGTTAATGGGTATGGAATTCATTCACAGTAAGTAAATGTATTCGTCTTTAATACTTTGGTCATTGTTAGCACTTGATTAAGACCAAAGTAAGTTTTTACTGCATGATATTCTATTTTTTTTAGTCTTGATATGATTTTAAGACTTTCATCTGCACAGAAGTTGGTACATTTAAGCAAGTTGCAAGACTAGCGACTCACTCCATCTTAGCTGCGTGTGGTTTGGAGCATCGAAGACC